GGCAGTTGTGGTGAGATTGTGCGATTTTTTCACCTTCTTCTTCAATAATAGCCTCCCTAATGCCAAATTTGAACCATATAAATGAAACATGTTATACGCCAAAAGAAACTAGACATCAAGCGCTACATTTTAGGAACACACCGCACCAGTGCTAGTGCCTTAGAAGCAGTTAAAAATGGTTGCATACTTGCAGGAGCATGATTTTTCACACTGCCGACCTCGATTTGGGGCAGAAGGAAGGGTTTGGTCAAGTTAAAATGTTCTACGCGTGAGTAGAATTTTCTACGCGGTTTCCGAATATTATAGTAATTTGGGGTCAAAAGAGGGTTTCTGCCCTGTTTTAGCCCTAAAATAGTGATTTTCGGTGATTTTTCGACTTTTTTAGCCTCCCCCTCCCTTCCAAAGGGGAGGGCGACCCCAAACATTGTTATTTTTTGATTCGTTGGAGTCTGGCGAGAATTTTATCAGAACACTTCACCAGTGTCAGACCACCTATTTGGTGTGAAAAAGAAGTAAGTAGTCGAAAAACCATGAAAAAATGGGAAATGGTGAAAACACCGAATTTTTTTCTCATAAAATATGAGTTGGCGGATAGTTAGGGAATATCGAAAAACTCAAGAATTTGAGGTGGGCCGACTTTTAAGCCCAAAAATTCGAAAAAATAAAACCACGTCTAATTGATTTTTTTCACATTTTATACTTTGAACCCACTTTTCAGGGCCTGAATGGGCCCGGATGGGGTGGTCATAGTGGACTTTTTTGTAGCCCCATCGATTATCTATCCAACCATGCATATAGTTTTGAAAGTTTGTACCACATTTTTCTAATGTAAAAATGTCAAAAAGTGCCATTTTTCATTTTTTTCAATATTTGGGTCACCCTAACTTTTCATCAGGTGGGGAAGGTCACCCTAATTTTTTGGCTTTGCGAGTTTTTGGCCATAAGAAGTTTATACACCAAGTTTGAGCGAAATCGGAGAGGTCATCTGCAATTTTTGTTACACTTGGTGTGGAATGGTCGAGGACGGTCGAAACGATGTTTCAAGAAAGAAACGTTGCTGACACAAAATAACTTCAGGTGGAATTGACATTGACGCTTTGATGAAAATAAGGCGGACATCAGACCATAATGAAAACGATTTTGTAATTTGTTTTGTGTTCACTTGAAAAGTCATAGAAACTGTAATCATACAGATATCCTATGCATTTCCACAGTATAAAGGTCGCTTTCTTCGTATACAAATACATGGGAAAGATTTGACGTAAGACGCCAAGACGCCTCTACGCGTGGAATGCTCGAAGCTGTCATCGTACACATATTGAACACGAACATTGTCGTTTACACAATCGCACTCACACAAATGAACGCATCGATAGTGCCCGCTCAATATATGTACGATGAGTGTTTTGAGTGTCCCTCGCCTAGAGTGCTGCGTGTCGTTTTTCTTCGTTTATTAAGCGATCTTGACAGTATCACCGATTATGGGTCACTGCAATTTCGTTGATGGTATATGCATGATGCACAAACGATATAGAAAAAGAAGCGACAGTTTTGAAAGCGTTCCCGTTTTAACTTACCCTAACCATTGGAATGCAATTCTGGTGAAAAGATTGTCCAAATACTAATACTAAATAAAACAATTATTTACTAAGTTTTAGTCAGTTTTCTGCATTGTTTTTTATATGGTTTTTCTTGTCATTTTCTTTTTAAATTGATATATAATTTTGTTGTTGCTTTGCATTCAATTCATTTTCCTTTGTTCTGAAGAAGAAACATAAAAACGAAGTGGTTGGTTTGTATGTGTCTACTGTACTTTTTACGTGGTAACGTAAAAGAAAACAAAGATGCCTTAATTTTTGATTCTCCTAAAAAATTGTTGTATTGCCCAAAACATTCATCGATTCATGCGTGTGTAATACTTTTTTGAAGACTAAAATAATAAAAAAAAGTCATCACACACAAATGATTAAAACCGAAGAAAAAAACCGAGACAAATTAACGCAAAATTCCTGTATTCCAAAAAACAAAACACGTACAATTCTTATTTACTACAATGTCAATTTGCATTGGAAATTCTTCGTCGTTGTTTGCCTCTCCGATGATGGAAAACCAAACTAACCGAACAAAGCGTTAATCAATTAACGCATGTTCGCTTCTAGCTAACTATTCACAGTATTGAAATAATTTAAATGGCGGTGAATTGATGTGTGTTGGGGAAAAGAAACGAAAATGGATGAAAAAATAAACGAGATATGGACAAACAGACAGAAAGAGACGGTCAGAAAAACTACAGACATATAGCAGAAAATGAAAACGTTTTGTTCATTTCAACAATTGCTTGATCACAATAAAATCATTTATAAATAATACAATATTTGTTTGTTTTTTCATGTTTAAATCAAATGTTATGCATAGACTCTAAGTTTAAAATAAACTGATGTGTTTTGACTACTTCGTTCGTCATCATTATTTCAATTTTTTTTTTCTCGACATTATACTCTGTTTTTTCTCCTTCGATACATCGTTCATTCAACCCATCAAGTTAATGCAATTGAATCCATTTGGTTGCTACAAAATTAGAGAGAGAAAAAAAACATTTGCATGTGCATGTGTTTTGAATGAATACAGATTTTTCTTCTTCTTTTTTTAGACAAAAAAAATTAGTATGAAAATGATCTTTCCGATAAATCATCGTTCATCAAATGAAGATATGCCTTTGTACGAACACATCGTGTACACATGAATGTAACATCGAATCATTCGTATAATAAGCAAATGAAAAAAACGAGCACAAATGTGAGAACCAAACTCGTTTTGTAAAATCTGTACAAAATCAATCTTATTAGTTTTGTTATAATTTTTTTCATGGACCAATTGTGCTTTTCACACAGAAAAAAAAATTTCAATTGATTTAAAACAAAAATGAACTGAATCAAAGTGTGTGTGTATATGTGTGTGAGTGAGAGAGAATCGTTATAATAATTTAATAAACCGCTTCGATTTGTGGCAATTAGGATCAATGTTTCTGTCCATATTCTTGTTGTTGTTGTTGTTGATGTTGCTGTTGTTTAAGTAATTTAAATATTCTAATCGTAAAATAAAGGAGAGATAAGGTATTCGGTTGTGAGAACAAGTGATTCTGATCATCAGTAAAGAAAAAAGTAAGCGCAGCATAATAAATATTTTTACAAATTTATTCCTTTTAATTCTCCTTCCATTTAGCATCGTACCGGTGTGGAACTAATTCAATAACAGGCGACTTTTTGTTTCTTTTCATTCTTATTCGGCTCATCTTGCATATTTATAACTCAGTTTGTATATTTTCTTCTGTGTGTGTGTGTGTTTTGACTGCAATCGTTCTTAAGATTCATTAGTTGTAAATGTCAAATTGTGGCCCTTCCCATCTCCACACTCATGCTAGTTGGTTGTGGTTGATTGGTTGGTTGGTTGGTTTGTTGTAGCAAACAGCTGCTGTATCGCCTGGGCATTCGGTTTGTTGTTGTGGTTTTGTTTTCATTTAGTTATAGATTTTGATAGCCTTTTCCAAGTAATTGAAACGTGATCGGCGCTGTGTCTTATTCACATGCTCCAGGCCCAAAAAGCACATCGGAGTTCCTCCTGCTGTTGATAAATTGGACAAGAAACAACGAAAAACAAATCATTTCATAACGTGCGACCTTATTTAAATCGACATATCATATTGAATAAACCAAGCCAAAATGTGTGATCTTACGTTGATTATTGCTACTGCTTTTAAAATCAGACAAATTTATTACAACGTCATCATCGTTGATGTACTCTGCTCGTCCCATCGTTATTAGCGCGAATTTATACTGCAAATGGAAAACGAACAAATAGACGAAATTAAATTTAGCAAACAAATTTGATTTACATTTTATATAGAGCGATAGAAAGAAAAAAAGTTCCTCCGGCTAGAGTTTTTCTCTCAGATAAGTGAACATACCTTTTCCCACTCTTTATCTGGAACCCCAAGTTTATTTTGTATACGGTTTTTCAGTTGACAGAACGGTTCACCCTGTTTGACTTTCACGAAGAACGGTATGCCAAAGAGTTCGTGAACATTTTTGTAGAAATGTGATACTGGTATCAGCATCTCATCTTCGGCCAAGTTTAGCTCGCTTTCGGGAATCTCTTCGAATCGATAGAATATCTGCTGTGACACATTCTGATCGCCATGTTGATGTAAATCTATTCGGATGGTCAAAATCAAACAAATTTGTGTTTTATTTTCGAATTACACACATTCTATGTTCTGTTTGTTTTTTTGCGGTTGTGTGCGCTTTGTTCGCAAACTTACGTTCTAATTCGGTGTCTTCGCGTGGACCTGGCCCAATTTTGTAGCCTTGAATTGTCACCATTCGAAGTTGACGTGTGCCATCTTCGCTGAATTCAACATGCTTAGCAGCCTCTTCGATCAGCGTTTTCACTGTGCCATTCTTATTTGGATACAGAACTAATTCCTTCTCCTCTTTCAAATTCGGCGTTAGCTATATACAACGAAAAATCAAAATCCACCATTAGTAACCTATAAGCAATTGTATTGCAATTGTTGTCTCCAATCACACTCACCCAAAAGCACTTGAATTGTTTTTTGTTTTCTAATTCATTAATATTCATTGGTAAAATTTGATAAAACAATTTCTTTACTGATTTCGGTTTACTATAAATTAGAAAATCTTTGAGTGGACCTTCGTATGCTGATTTGATTGCATTGCCTGGTAAATCTTTGTAACTGTAAAATCAAAGCAAAATTATTGTGATTGTTTGAATGAAATGATTTTGTTGTGTAAAAAAAAATTCCAAACGAATGATTCATTACTTTTGGCATCTGAAGAACTGTATTGTATTTGGGTCGACATTCATTTTTTGTCCTACCGCGGCCGCCATTTGTTCGTAAGTCATTCGTTGTGACAATTCTAGCGTGAAACCGGCATCGTTCAGATTTGTTTTGTCAATGAACACCACTTCAACTCGATATAATAGGTCCTTAAAGTAATCTTCGCACGTGGCCAACTCTAGATTATCATCACAATGCTTCTTTTCGAATATAATAACATCGTCGCTGTCCATTAAATCGAGCTATTTGTTTGCAAAAGAGAAGAACAAAGATATTTTGTTTTAGTCAGTTCGAGGAGACGTGATTAATTCAATCTATTTGCAAGTTTGCTCACTTTTTCCAGTGTGTCATTAAGATTAGTGATTTTCTGAACCATATTTGATCCCTGCTCTTCGTATAGTGTGAGTTCTGTTTCGGCTGGCCATCCGACACGTTTATTCAAATCGGGTACCAGATCGCTAACTTTCTGTGTGATATTATAGTAGCCCAGTCCGCAGTAATTCAATCGTTTCATGGCTGGGTCGTAGAACTGTAATGAAACATGACCAAAAGTGAATGAATCCAATTGAATTTGTATTTGGAAAAGGAGAGTGGAGAAGCAATCGTTACCTTAAAGAATAACAGCACGTTTCGTTCTTTGTTGAACGATGGCAAAGCTTGTTGGCCAGAATCTGGTGGCAACAGTTCCAAAAATACTAGCCACGGATTTTGTAGTTCAGCACACTGGATAATTGCTTTGTTTTGATCATCTTTGTAGTAGAAGAATGACGGTCGCGTCAACTGATTTTGTCGCGACACCAGTGGCCAGAGACGCATATGTGAAATTGGCGTATAAAATGCATCTTTAAATGTGTTCATTAGATCGGCAATCGTTTGAGTTTTCTTCATTTTGAATGAGCGACAATGGACCTTCTCCAAATCGAACAAATCAGTCGTCTGATGACCTTCAAAATATTCCTCGAGCAGTACATTAATGGTAATGTACGTGTTTGCCTCGCTTCGTTCGCGTCGCCGAACCTGTTCCATGCGCCGTTCCTCGGCCAGGCGATCAATCAACTCTGACGGGATGTCGGTCTCTTTGATTTCCTGTAGCACTTGCTGCATCGCTGAGTTTCGTATGTAGACTAACATGTAAGCGTTACTACAATGTTTGGCATTTAAGCTTAGATCGTCATCGATGCCACCGTAATTGTGTTCAATGGCCTCGGCTTTATTACATTTGGACACAACATCATCGTCAAATTTACACCATTTACCATCGCCATATGGATTAATGTAGACTACATAATGGCCGCCATGATTGTCACCAGAGTGCACGAGCACGGCATGCAGTGTATAATCGGCTGGCGTATCTTCTAAGCTCTGCAGATACGGATCCAATTCGATGTGTTCGTAGAATTCAAAGCGATCATTGAACTTCACCGAATTGTCTGTGATTGGATCGTATTGAAATCGCATCAAGTGTAAATGCAGTACGGGCGGAAATTTAACGAAAATCACTCCCTTCTCGGCATCTTGGAGACCATGTTCGCCGGCATCGTACTTGTTGTCACCCTCCAATGTCTCCTTTGCGACGTAGTCTTTGAACGATTCATAAACTGTTTGCGAATGGCGGCGGCAATGTGAATGGAAAGAGAAGAGGCAGAATGACACACAGAGATTAGTATCAGTTACAAAGTTACAATGAAAACGAATGCATTTCATGCAGTTGTTTACTTACTATTCTTTTTGCCTTTAATGTTCAGTTGAATATCGTAGAAGGTTTCCATTCGTGTGCTCGTGTAATTAACATTCTTGCATTTAATGTACGATGACATTTTTCCCTCGAACAATGCGGGGACCGTGCCTTCGGCACAAGTCCGCTTCATTTTACTCTCCACTTTGTCGAGTAGCACACGCAAAAATTCCTGAACATCGTGTTGCATAAATGAGTCTAACGTTTCCCATCCGAAACTTTTTGTCAGTTTCTTTGTTCCCACCGGTTTGTCGCTGAATTGTAGGTCGTGGAATACGCGTTGCAATGCCAACGCGACCGATTTCGTGCTGTCATCGGCCTCGGTTGGCATTTTGTATACAGCCTTTCGCAGTTGATTTGTAAAATAGAGTGTTTGCAGCAGCGAATTCATGTAGCACGTTGCGCCTTGATTTTTCAAGCCAACAAAACCGGTATGCTTCTTTGAGTCCCAGAATACACCATGCGGCGCCTCTGCCACTACATGCACCTCCAACATAATCTTGTCATCTTGAATGTAGCCCCGTTCCGGATCCAAAATCTCATTCCAATTCATGAAATGTGAGAAGCCCCAATCGTTCTCTTTGCTGTAGAACAAATGTTTGATTTGTCGTACAAACGGCTCCTGGTCGGGTTTGTGTGACATCAGTTTTAATTCGGCTTTTGCATTGCATGACCAACTAGACGATTCACTTTCGGCATTACATTGTAAAAAGAAACCCATGGAACGGGTGTCTTGGCCTCGATCGCCCGAATTCGATGTGCGTTGCATCACCATTATTTTCCAGGGCAGGTTTCGCACATAGCATGGCGGCGACAATATGGAGTCTTTCATTTTACTAAAATCGTGGACAACAAAGCTGAATGTCGCCTCTGATCGCATCTCTTCGTCCTCCATTTGAACGTCGGCTACCTCGGAACTGTTTTCGTTCACCGTTGTCGGTATCATCGGCATTGTGGGCTCTGTTTGTTTATTGTGGTTGGAAATTTCATTTGAATTTTAAAATCGATCAAGTCAACACATGCGACCGATATGTCGGCCAGAATACTAAGTGAAAATTTTTGCAAAACTGGTTGCTACGTTATCCGATGACACATAAATATCAAATGTGGGATAGATAGAAACCAACAAAGATGAAAACAATGTCATCAATAACATACCTTCTTCTGTATCCATCGCTTCAACTGTGTTATTCCGAATTTCTCGCTGGTTACTGGAATCGTTATGGTTTTCACTGTCCATGTTGCAGAGATCCGGATCGAAATTATTTTTGTCAAATGAACCAAAAATGGTATGATTTCTGTTTCACACTTCGATTTAACGCGGATTCCAGTTTATCTCTACCTAATTCACTTCGAATCTAAATAAGTCTAGAACGGAAAGAAAGGAGAAACGCACTCGATTAGAGAACACAATCACAATTTGCATGGCTTGCGATGTTTTCATTTTCCGTTGTTCATTCACAAATCGAATTGTCTTTCTTCGTGTGTCTTTATTTCAAGTGATTTGGTTTTTTTTTTCGTGGTCATTGTCGTGGATTCGTGCAAATGTTTGTGTAGCGAACAACGAGCAAATACTACAGCAACAAGTAAAGCGTCATTGTGACAGCTTCAATGCATCGCGGATATATGTGTTCAAAGGAATGCATAAACAAAGAAAATAATAGTTATTGCGCAAATATTCTCCTCGTCATAATCCTTACAAAACAATGGGCCAAACGAAAAACTGACGCAAATTCTTTCTTCGTTGTTACGAATTCGATCCAAAGCACTGAACGGAAGTGCAAAATCAGTGGATTTCCAACATTGACACTTAAAATACCGGATTGTCGAATATTCAATAGGAAAGTGAATCGTCGATTATTGGAATTTTAAATGATTTTTCGCCAATGCATTCGAATAATTAGGTTATTTATGTATGAAGACATACTGTAAGCATGGCACACATTGCAGTTCAGAATTTGTTTCTTCGTTAATACTGATATTTATTCATTTTTTATTTGTCAATTTGCCATCTTCCCTCTCTCTCTCTCTCTCTCCACAAGAATCACACAAAACGCACCGAATTTTTCTCTGACATTATGGCAATAAGAGGAAAAGACTCAAAGAATTTCTAAGCAGAACAAACACTCACAATGCTTCGATATTTTTTACACTATACACTATAATTTCTCAATAACAACAACACAAAAAAATGGGAAAAATGAAACGTATAGCAAAAAAAATAAATTTTGTTGGCGATGAGTTAATTAAAAAAAATATTTATGTTCATTTTTGAGATACACTAAAACATAGACCGAATATTATCGGTGAATGTGAGCTATAAAGAAGTGTATGTGTATATATTTGCGTGTGAATATATCTATAGAGCGAGAAAGAGAGAACAGAAGGAGGGAAAAGAGCGCAATCCAGTCGGCAAAGTTGACGCGAGAGAATTGCACGGAGAGCAAAAAATGAGATGGAAAGAGAAAGAAAGAGCGTGCGCGTGAGCGAGAAACCGACAGGCAGAAAGAGAGCACACAAGAGACGTAGCGAGAAAGAAGAAAATTCGCATTGAAAAGCACATACACCAACACAAAGTGTTGTCCGCCGCTCTCTTTCACCGATGATATTCACGAATGATTCACTTGTCAGGCGAGCTCAACCAAAACGTAGAATACGCGAACCGGAATGAAGTTGCACCCTTGGTGTATGTGCTCACAAAGGTGGAAGAATAACCAAAGACTATGAAGATGAAGGCAGAATGACGAGAAGAAAAAGAAGAAGAAGAAGACGACGACGACGAAGAAGGAAAAAAAATTGCATTGCATGCTCCGAATAAACGCAACGCCAATCAAATATCATAGCGTTAATGTTATACGCTATTGTCGCTTCTGTTGTTGTTTTTGTTATTGCTGCTGTTGTTGTTATTTTCATACGATTTTTTTTTTCATCTTGTCCAAAAAGTACTAGCATCGATCTCACTCAAAAATATTGGTTGGCAATTCAAATGAATTAATTACACAATTTTTACACAATAATTCCAACCGATTGACAGCAAATTATATCGATGCCATTGTAATGTTCTATGCACAGAATGCATTTCAATTTGCATATAATTTTAGTTGCACTTTTTTTCCCTCAATGACTGTTTTGTCCATGAATGGAACATTTTTCTTAGAATTTTCCCATTACCTTAATAATTTGTTCGTATTAAATGCATCGATTCTTTGAAAAATGATGAACAAATTATCTAAATTGCCTCAATTTAGCACAATGGTCGAATTTCCCGTTCTGAATCTCTCGCAAAAGTTAAATATTTCTCGTAACTTTTCAATTTAAAATCGTCATTCATCGAATGTGTTTGCAGTTAAGCAAAACCCATCGATGATTATTTTCCAATTAAACTTATCATTTAATAAAAATATTATTTCATCTGAATGTTTCTAACCACCGAGTAGTTTTCTGTTTGTCGCAGAACAAACAAACAGAAAAAAAACTAAATTGAACTAAAATACGGTTGGTTCGATGCAATTACACAATATGCATACAACACGGTGATTCTTTTTTTAATTTTCGCATAAATTTTCAATTTTCATGCTGATTTTTTGCACACAATTGCAAACACAACCAATTTAATTTTCGACACACAATTTTTATATATTTTCGTTGGCTATCGGCGTTTTTTTCGTTTCCTTCTGAATGCCGATTCTAATGTGACAGGAGACGTGAATTTGTGGAATAGTTTTTACTCTCTCTCACTCACTCACACACACACTCTCTCTATTTGCACACGACCAAAACGAAAATAACCATTTTTTTTTCTCATCATTCGATTTTAAAAATGTTTCTCGTTCGAATTGAAAATACGGGGGCACATGGACTAAATAAACTGCGATGGTTGACGGGCGAAAAAAAATTAATTTCCTTTTGGCTTTTCATATGCGAAATACAAAATAAATAGTACGGATTCGGTGGTGTGTATGTGTTTTTCACCGTGAATCACGACAAATTGAGCATACCGACGACAACGACGAGCAGAGAAATTAACCAATGAAATGCTGCCTATGTTTCGCCTGTTTCCGAAAAAATACACATTTTTATTGAATGTTACACGTGAATATACTTACATTTATTAAAATTATAGTTCAATTCTCAACACCAAGTAACATTTATGGATTTGTAATTTTTTTAACAAGATAAAAAAATAAAAGAAATAAACTATTTGAAGCGTCACAAATGTAGCGGACTACGAAAAACCATCTTTGTACTTCTGATTACATACATTTGTAGTGAGAGAACGAGCGAGCGAGAGAGAGAGAGAGACAGATAGATAGACAGCTCTCTTCGCCACTGTATTGTCCGCTGTCTCTCAATTTGTTTTCGCCTGCCATTGCAATTCGCTCCGCATTTGTGCGCGCTCTCTCTCTTCATTCACCATCCACACATCAATCCACTGACATTTGACAGTGAATAACTTCATGTGAAACGAACGCGTTCGCCTTGGCGCTCCTTTCAAACCAGCTGCTGAACATACTCATCGAACACAGATGCACACATAGACACGTTTTTACATACAGAGGTGTACGAACTAGAAACTATATCGTACCTTGCGATAGAGACAATTCAAATGCATCGGAATTTTGGTTTAAAATGTTTCTTTTTATTCAGTTCTTCAAATGATAAATAAAATCCATTTATATTTAGTAATACAATTTGAGTTTTGGATCAAATTCCCTTTCCAAAATTGATAACTCATAAATTTTTGCTTTATGTTGTTGTTTGCTAAAATTCATTCAAATAACAAAGATTCATCGTATTTCCAATATGTTAACAGTTATTAGATCTATTAGAAAATCACATATTTTGTCTTGTAGCTTTTAATATATTCAAAATAAAAAAAAGAAGAAAATGGTGACGTTTCGTTGGTTACTTATCTCTTTTCATATTTTCCTATAAGGTTTGGCTAGTCACTGTTACTGTACTAATCTCAATATAATATAATAATACCACAATTTTTTCTTCTTCCATTATTTTGTCCCGCATTGTGTTTGGTTTTTCCATCGTTTTCGTCCATTCGCCGGTCGTTTGAAATATTTTAAAGATGCGTCTAAATCAGTTTGTTCGATTTAAGAGGAAAGAAAATAGTGGGAAATTAGCATTTGAAATAAAGACACAAATGAGAGAGAATTAATCATCAACGAACTAAAGTGTCCATATTCAAAATCGTTGTCGAATGAACGTAGTCCTTTTGAAGCACATACAGTTTTGGTTGCTTTTGCCATATGACGTCACAGCGAATTAAGGTAGAAAACCGTGCCATCCAATCGCGCTGCATGTTATGTGCATATTTCGAAATGACTTGGTTCATTGTAGGTTCATTCAGTTGCCGCCGTTACGACAACCACTTTGAGTATGGATAATGTTATGACTTAATAATCTAAGCATACAAAAAGTGAGAGAGAGAAATCCGCTCCAAAATTGAAATACAGAGTACGTAGTATTGTTGACATGGGCTGTAGGTTAGTATGCGAGCTCAATTCAAACACTTGGAAAATATAATCGCAAAATGATTTGCTTCCATGAGTTGAAGTCATCTTCTATCACTTGAAGCACTAAATTTTGGATTTTTTTTTTTAAACAATGCCCCAAACAAAACAAGCCGATCAAATTGAAAAGAAAAGTGAAAAATTAAATCGTGTAGCATTGATATTCAATTGCAATAGATAAAATCAATCAAAACATAGTCACGTTTTCAATTTGATGACTGAAATCAAATTAATTTATTGGGGTTAATTGGGATTACATAATTTCATTTCTTTAAATTTTACTGTTGACATTGTTTTTGTTTTTGTTTTTGTTTTCTCTTCTCTTCATTTCATTCAATTAATTGTTTTAACTACTGTTAATATATTTTGTTTTTTGGTTGCTGTTTGATGTTGTATTTTTTTTCTTCAAATGTTTGTGTATATCTCATGTTTTATATTGTTTCTGTTTTTCATTTTTTCTTTGTCATTTTTGATGGGTTTCTATTTGTAACTTCTATGCCTTTATTTTGTCGGTGATTGGTTATTTTACGCTTAGTACTTATCGTCTGGCATTTGATTGGCTGAACACAATGCGCGCCGCGTTCTCAGAGCCAGCGAAAATTGTGTGCTGCAGCCAAATCGAAGCCGTAATTGATATCTCCTGCACAATAATCATTTGATTGAATGGTTTTGTTTGGAGTTAAGACCGGTCCAGTTTGTAATATTATGTGGTTTTCTTTTTTACTTTGCTCATTTACTCAGTAAAATGCAAAATCGATATTGGATTATTATTTGTATATTTTGTTGTCTGCTTTATTTTTTTCTTATTTTGTTCACCTGTCAGACATTTGACACAATAGTTCAGTATGATTTGATGTGTGCAAATCAAAAGTGAAAATGAAAACGGCGTAACAGCGGATGATGGTGAAAATCGCAAGATAAAAAAAAAACAATAACAAATGTTAATTAAAATTGGCGTTGAGCAAAACAGAATGATTGAGGGATGATAGTCTTGTTTCCATGTTCCACACCATTCTTCCCCTTCAGGGGAATGGGTGGAAAATAAAATTGAACAAAAACTTCTATTCTGACCCACTAAAAACTCAATCTCTTTGAATTCATTTCAATTTTCTTTTATTGTTACTTAAGTTATGTCTATCTACGTGATTTATTTCGTTTTTTAATTTCATTAGAATTGTGGCATTTTATTACTTCGATCAAAATGATTCATTTTGTTTTTTTCTCCATATTTTTTTTTAATCTTCCATTTTTTTTATCAACAAATAACATCGAAAAATCAACAATTTCGTCTGTAATAATCAAACATATTTATGTTCTACCCGAATATTTCTTAGATCTTTAACTTATGTCCATATTATTTTGTAATTTTAGAGTTACTGATTGTGAGATATGTCGGAATTCATATTGTGTGTGTGTGTTTTTGTTTTTAGAAGATTCGATAGTTTCGCAACATTTTAATGGTAAAAAAAATTGTTTGCTTTCGAAAGTAACGGACAAATGATCGAAATGTTTTTATTTTTGGTTTTTATTTTTTATTCAACATTTCCGACAACGAACGAAACTCGCCGGTCCAGAACAGGTAGTGGATGAAGGAAAATATTGTCGAAACGAGTTGTTCAGAGGAGTGAAATCAACAACGAGCATAAACAATGTAGACGGGGAAGGAAGGACTATGATTTTTATTTTGGTGCTTTGACTTTTAGCCGAAATACATGTTGTCGAAGTGATTTCCGAAATGTAAGAATTTGTTCAATTTTTAACTGAAAAAGACTGAATTTACTTGTAATTGGTTGTGAGGTAGAACAAAGTTTTGATCATTTCGAATTCAATGCAACAGTTTGAAATAGAAAGAAAATCAATGTTTATTTTAGGATTGAATTTAAATGTGGGTGTTTTTTTTGCGATTGTTTTATATAATAAGGTTCTACGCTCATCGAGAAATCAATGCTCGATTTGATGCGGGTGTTATGATATTCGACTGTGGGGCAAAAAATCAGGTTTTATTTCTCCCCGCAAATATATGTTGTGTGTTTAAAGCGTCGCACTGTGAAATTGATCAGTTTGACACAAGAAAAACTTTGTGATAAAAACGTTGCGTTTTATAATGTGGTGATTGCACTGCGACATATGATTGTGGATGCATGCACCAATTTACATGAGATCTTTGAACAATAAATTTGGCACCAAAATTGCAATTAAAGCCACGACATCAACGGCATTCGCATCAAAAGGTGTGCAGACATGAGCGAAGTTTTTTTAAATAATAAAATTGTAACGTCTAATTCGAGGTTCAAATTAACAATTTTTAATCTTATGTTACATGTTGCGGTTATGCTCTTACCATTTAGAACTTTTTCTTTTATTTCATTTAAATATATTTTGGACTTATATCACTTTAACAGTTCATCGCTTTACGATTATTTCTTCTATCTCCATATTTCTTTGCATACGTTTTGCTTTGCCAAGTATGTGTTTTGCAATTTGAATTTGTTTGAAGAGAAATTCTTCTTCTTCTTCTTCTTCACTTTTTTAAACTTTAATCTACTTTCAAAATATTCACTTTATTTGTTTTGTACATTTTAATATACAATTGTTGCTGTTGCGGTTATTCTTTGTTTTTTTTTTTGGTTTGTATTTTGTATGGATTTGTTTAGTTTTCGTGCTTTTTCAACGCAATCATTTCTTTTGACAGAGTTGTGCCATCAAACGCACAGAATGCTCTCAAACTAGAAGCAAATATTGCTTTGAATTTTTGCATAGATGGCCAAGTTTGATTCAACCAAACTTATAGCAGTATGTACGCAATTTGGGGCCCTGACTTCTGGTCTTCATTGTTAATTTGGTGCTTTTTTTTTGAAAACAAAAAAATAAACTGCATCGAAGTACATCTTTCTCTTTTATATTGCAACAAAATAGAGCACTTGATTTGAACACAAGAATTGAACAACGATTTTGAATATATGTAAATCGGATCGATTCAGTATGACGATTGTTCTTTTTTTTTGGTTAGTTTGATTAAATGAAGAATACTCTCCACTTTAAACCGAATCGAATACGCACAGTTCAATCAAAAATCAAGAGCACAATTTGCTCCGTGAATATATTTCCGGTCGGCGGCCGTCTCCCATCGAAATTAATACACTTTTCTTTGTTATCTAAATGTATATATTTTATCTAGATTGACAGTTTGCCATTATAGTACATAGATTGAATTTTATGCTAAACATTTATCTAGCGCCAATTGCAAAATTCCAAAGAAAAAACAAAAAACAAAATGCGATCATTTAAATTTAATATTATGCATAATAGTATATGTATAACTTATGTTTGTATTAGTAATTTTTCTTTTTAGCTATACCAACTTGTTTCCGTCCTTTTTATATGTTTTGAACATTTGCATTTTGTAAGGAAAAAAAATGAAGAACAAAAAACACGAACAGAAATCTGTTCCATTTAATAAATTTACATTATTTACATGTTTTGCGATCGAGGTGCTGTTGCGCGATTTGCCATATTTATTTTTTAAATATTGTCGATGAATCCACATTCATGATTATGTTACGATGGTAATAATTTCATGTGAAGAAAAATCAAAAAGCAAAAAAGGCATGAACCCAATTCTTCGCTCTTCTCCACTATAATTTTATGTATGTTGATATCTTTTCATTTCCATTTACTTTTTTTGGCTGTGGAATACGGTTGCTAAACGGATAATTTATGGAAACGAAACAGCAAAATCACGTTTTCTATTGAGCACCTCATAAATTTTTCATCGCTCATTTTCACAAAATAAAACATACGAATAAACGCGTAATTTTAACAACATATGATTAGAATGACTGCATAGTATGGCGTTCGTCAATTTTGGAAGAAATAAACAGATCTCTCAACGTTCAGATCATTTTTTAGTTTTTGTTTGTTCGGTATTGCATGACTGGTGAATTTCTTTTGCATATAATACTTAAATCAGATGTATCACAAAATGATTATTTATCATTCATAGCGTATATGAGTAGTGGAGAGATAGAGAGAGATAAAGAGAAAGAAAAACGCAAAAGAACTGAACTAAATTGCAGGCCAAATTAATAAAAAGAAAAGCTTAGATGAGCTGCGCAGTCAAAGCAAGAATCGTTTGTTTTTTTTCTGTTGTTGAGTTGTATGTGTGAAAATTTTGATTTGTTTTCGCGCTTCAACGACAATAAATGACATGCTCGAAAGCACCGAATATTTGAACAGTTGCATTAGCCAAATGCCAATTTGCCAAAATGAGAACATTCATTTGTTTTATTTTCTAATTGGTTCAACAAGTTATAGCTGTTCACAAACTGAATCGTGTTTTCACATCGATAGAAATATTCTTCATCAACACAAGGCATTAAGCAAAAAATTCATGTTTAGATTTGTGAATGTTATCATTTGTAATATCATTTAATTTATTTAAATTAAATCCTACGAAAAATCAAAGTCCCTATTGAACAACGTTCGTTGTATTCGTTTTGTAAATTATAGCACATTATTAGCCGATACCATTTACAATTGAAAGTCTCTCTGTCTCTCGCTCTCAATCGTCAATTTTGTTTCTGTTTTGATTGGAGAAGGCCGTTTTACGTCGACTATGGCGATGTCACTATGAAGAGAACAAAAGAGAGAGAGAGAGAGAGGAAGAGACTACACTTGTCCTGGCTTGCATTTCTACAATAATAAAATCGATAGATTTCGTGTGTGTGTGTGTGTTTAAACTAAGTCGAAAATTAGGTACATATTTTTAAGAAGTACACGCGAGAAAAAGACGAGCCACGTTTTTCTATTTTGATTGACATAACTAGCTCATCCAATGTTTTCCACTTTGGCTGTTGTGTGCTGCACATTTACAAAACGACCACAACGACTGCTATTCGATGCTGAGCTTTAGAGCAATATGTTCTTTGCAAAAAGTGCTAGCGCTTTTTTATAAATGTCAATTTCTTATATTTTTATATATATATATATATAACTTTGATGATCCAGTCGGAGACATTTAAAAAAACGCTAGATATATCATATTAATTTATATATATATGCTTGTGACATGGGTTTTTTGAAATTGAACTTTTTACGGAACACTCAGAAATATAGCATTTCGAAAGTTTTTTTTTGTTAATTTTTTTTTGTTAATTTTTTTTTCTTCTTGTTTATCGTCTAAGTAATACACAAAGGCCCATAAAAACGGTGGACATTGTTCAGTGATTTTCATGTAACATTTTTTGCATTGTCGCACGGCAAGCGGAATCAATCGATTTGGTTTTACTTATTTCTCCCAATATGGACTTTGATTTGATCAGATTTGTTGTTGTTCATCTTCTATTCTTTTTGTTGTTCTTTTTTTTTTGCTTTTCTCCCTGTCAATTTTTAATCGTAATCATAATCGACTTGACATCGTAGATTTTGCTATAAATTTTCATTTATTTTTTTAAAATCCAAATTTATTCAATTTTGGTTTTGGTTTTTGAAAGAAAAAAAATTGTGTTCCATGTTGTGAAAGCGTTCGATTTTATGGGGAGGATTTGAATGATATGCAGCATGAAATCAGAAAAAAGAGAACAAATTTTTGTTTCATTAACCGCAGCAATAGTATGAATTAAATACCGAATAGATCAAGCAAAAAATAGAATTAATGAATGTTTTGTTTTTGGTTCTTTGCTCTAAAAACACTACTTTCAACGGGAAAGTTCACCATATATTTTAAATAAATTGCATGCGACACGAAATAAATTACAAAAATTATCAATATCCGAGATGACGAAAAAAATAACAATTAGACGGAAAAGATTTAACGAAAGAAAACATATTAAACAAATTGTTCGTTAAATATTCCTAATTTCCATTTGATAATTCAGAATTGTTCGTTTGCTCTTTTAATTTGGTTAGTATTCGATTTCTCAATTCCATTCCAATCCATTTCCAGAATGCACTTGAGTAATCTGGGCGGAAAACACCTTTGATTGGTTTTCTGTGTGTGTGTGTGTGTGTGTATGTTGACATAAACATATGGGGATTCGGTTGATAGAAGTCGATTTCTTGAATGAGTTTTTTTTATTTGTTATTGTTTTGATTTAAGGCTTTTCGTTCACGCTTTGGGCTGATGGGGTGGCTGTAAACCATTCGAAAATATTGGACGGAAATTTAAAAAATGAACTGATTGTTGAAGCAGAAGAAGAAGGAGGAGGAGGTTGACATAAATTGGTTTGTTGTGTGGTTTTACTATTGGTGGCAGTAGCAATAGTCGAAATCTTCTATAAAAAAAATGAAATAAAGAAAAACAAGAGGAGAAAAAAGAGAAAAATAATAATAACATTCACCGTTAAAAAGGAAAGAAAATTCAATTGAAACTGCAAAGCCGAATGTGTATCAAATCAAAACACGCACAGTTATCAGTTGGAAAACGAAAGAAAGACGGGAAACAAACGAATTGGTGTGAGCAATAAAATTAATCAAATATAAAACAGAAAAAAGCATTTTGTATAGTACCAACCAACCAAAATTGACTTAATCATATAAAATCATATTTGTAAACGAATGAAAACAACGAGAAAAAAGACGGGTCAGTTAAAGTGAAACAATAAATTGCTACTGTTATCATTTGCAGAACAGAAGAAAATAAATTATCAGAAAATGTGCAGACAATTACAATAATTTGAATTAGCCACACACATTTATTAAAAGCACACGTTTGAGGTGTTGTGCAAACGAATATTAATGGGAATGCATGTACAGTAAATTTTAAGGATTTAATGCACAGAAAAAGATAAAACACCAACAACAAATATAAAGCGAGCCATGTACCGTTCTCATTGTCTATTTTTTTATATGTATTTAATTCGGTGAAACAAGTGTCAATTTGTAAATCGAGTTCACGTGCAGTGCTTTGCACATTTAGTGTAGTGTAATAATGGATAAGCAGCCACAAATAACATGAACAGTAGCAACAACAACAGCATAGTTATATATATACACACATACAAAAGCACGAGCTTGATAAGCTGCTTTTGACGCGCAACCGATTCAGAAGACGAATAGTCAGTGATGCGTTTTGTGTTATTATTCACAATCAACGAAAGAAAAAACACAAACAACAACAGCAAAAAAAAACTGAACAAAAAATAATGAAATGATTCGCAACAAACATGTTTGGATTTATAAAAAAATCGTTCACAATTCGATCGATTAAGTTGGCGATGCATCAATATATCAAACATAACAAACATTGCGCGTTCAACTAACTGAATTTCTATTGCTACTGTTAGTAACGGATTGTTTAGTTTTGGGTGGTTTGATGCTATGGGTATTGATTTGAAGGCTGCTTACCATTTCCGATGTTAGTGCATTCAGTGATTCTTCAACAGATGGTTTGTGACGATCCGACGCAGATGTGTATGTGTTTAATGGTGATGAATTACCTGAAAATGCTTTTGGGATGAATTCGGTAACCGTTTAGTCGCTGAATCGATACGACACGATTCGCAATCGAATGGATTGCGAACGTCTTGTTGTATGTGTGCATGCCTTACCCATATCACCGCTTGAGCTAGATTCCGTAAAACTTGGCGTACCCTCCGTCCACGTCGGTGTTGATCCTTCATTTGATGTGGGCGGTGTCCATGCCAGAGCTCCACGCGATCCATACTGACTACCACTGTCGCCAACGGCCAAGTGTGGATCTAATCTAATCTCTGATATGCTACAATTTTGTAAAAAATCAAATTAATTTTTCTGTGTGTTAGTTAATCCATTGCATTTGGCGAGAGCAAGAGTGAATGATAAAAGGTAGATCACACAAAACGAAACGAAACAAAACAGAACAAAAATTGAAAAAAAGAGATAAAGTTAGGCACCTAAAACTACTATAAGTTGACCGTGTTAACGTTCCAAAACTAAATCAAATGAAAAGAAAAAAAAAGATAACCATAAACATAAAAAAGAATAGTTTGACTTCAGTAAAATTCGTCGGATAATGAACAAATTGCATATATATTCATAGACCTGGCTCCCAAAAATTGATAAAAAACAAATGAAAAATGTTGAAAAAATAAAATAAAATTCGGAATCGATTCAAATTGTTTGCTGAGTGTAAAGTATTTACCTAACGGTGTCTTCGCGATAGGTTGTGCTTCGTGTGGTGGAGCCGCTCATTTGAAATCGACGATCATTTCCACGATCGTCACTGTGCCGATGATGGCTACTGCTACCTTCAGAAATGTCATCAAAAGCGGGTGGTGGAGTGGAACAACATGAAGGTGCTGTACCTAGCGATTACATATGATACATAGGTTTTTTTTCGATGATCAGTTACAGTAAATATTGAACATACACAACTTAATATACAACAATTCGTTTGTTTTGATTTGATTTTCGGTTGTTGTTTTTTTAGTTTCATTTGCAAACAAAAAAGAGATCCATTGACAGGGTTCATACAAGTGATCAATTGATTTGGATTCAATGCTCAATATATTTATATATCTATAGCATCCAGTTAATGAAGTACATTGATACACAGGTTCATGCCGATATCAGTTGTTTTGTGTTTTTGGTTTGTTAGGCTTTAGGTTTTGTACATATAACAGCAAAAGCAAAAATGAATTCAACTCTTATGGAACAGATGTGAAAAGAGAGAGAGATTGAGATAGAGAGATGTTGTTTTATTTTTTATTATATTGATAATGTGCGAAAGCAATGAGAAAGGACCCAACTATTCTAGTATACATTTCAGATATGTACGAGAGCTTGGCTGTGTGCTTGGTGGAAATGAAATGAAATCGGTTTGTTTGTGTCTTTTTCATGGTGATTTCTCTTTTATGTTATCTCTCATTTTATTCTCTACACAAATTCGCCGTCAAGGCTAAATGTATCTAGATAATTATTATTTTCCACGGGCATAAGGCTTGAATGTGATTTTAGAATTTCGCTTCTCTTCGTGTTATCATTTTCGTCCGTTTGGTCATGTATGATTTGAGGCGCTTTTCTGCGTGTTAATGTTCTTAGAATTGTGTCAGGATGATCGATGAATGTGACATTCTTCTGTGTACTATTCTTTTGTGATGGCAACGGCAATGGCAACGTTGGGTTGACGACTTTCTTTTTCTTTGTTCGTGGCTTTACCACCGGTGGTGTAGCACTTGTAGCAGCACTATTATTCGGTGGTATATTCTCAAATGCTTGTCGCAATTTAAATATGTTGCCCTTTTCGATGGTCGTTTCAATGTCCATTGATTCGGGATGCGGTATTGTACCACTTGCATCGGTATTGTTATTTTTATCGAAATTATTATTGATATTCGTATCGCTGCTATGGTACGATTTGATGCGATCGCTTACAATGTTTGCACTGATGCCAGCCATTTCGTCATCATTATTGTTCGTGCTAACATTGGCCGTTGCTTGATTGGCCCCCGTGTCATTGGCATATTTTTCAACTTTGTATCGCACCGATGAATCGCTGCTATAGGAGAATGCACGAAAGCTTGACTGTCGTTGTAAATGTGCCGTTCGTATTGGTAGCGGTTTGCGTGGTTTAATTGTAATGCATTTGGTGGGTTCGGTAATTTTGAATTGTAGCACACTTTCATCGTAATCACTGGCCGCAAAATCGTTTACTTCAAGCCAATCGCGCACACAGGTGGGTGATCGATTGCGAAATATTGGCGTTCGTGGTGGCGATACGCCGTTGGACCGTTCATCGTTTTTATACAGTTTTTGCGGTGACAAACGACACAAATTGTTCGGATTGGGCTGAATTGTGTCGAAATATTTATCATTCAAATAATTCATTTCATGTCTACCTGATGAGGGTGTCGCACGCGGACTGGCACCGGCTGACTTTTGAGAACTGGCACTTGTACGGCGATCGACGCGTGGTGAACCACGTGGCGGCACCGGTGGTGGCACTTTTGATTTGATTATGCCAGTTTTTTGCTTCAACGGCGGAATCATTTGCGAAACGGGCTGTTGTCTACTTTGTTGTTGGGACACCGACGATGGGGCTGTCGTTTGAATTGGTTTAGCTAGCGACGATGACTGACTTGAGGAAGAAGCAACGGTGACTGGTGTTTCTGTTTTGTGTGAATATATGTACGAGGTTCGGGGCACATTTTGTTCGCGGTTGGTTTTTATGTTTGATATACATTTTTTTGGTTTAGTTTTAATGAAAATCACATTGGAATGGCAATTCAATCGAGCAGGCACGATTATTTTCAAGGCACAACAAACAAACAAACGGAAAAAAATGAAAATTGGGAAAAGACATGATTGGACACATATAATGAACATAACGAATAATCGAATGAGTTCATCCCATTAGAGTTATTTGGTTTTTTTTGTACAATTTCAAATAAAATTCATTGTTTACACAATACATCCATTTAAAGCGCGCAGCATGAAAATTAGAAGAAAGTAAATATTTATAATTGGTTAATATGAATGAGTGATTTCACAGTCAGAAAATGGTTGGGATTTCAAACAAATCAAAATTGAATAACACTATAAATAACGAATAAAAGAAAGAGTTATTTCGCATGACGATTGTTTTCAATCAAGGAAATTTCATGAACAAGGTTCGATTTTGCTTTTTAGAACACAAAAAAAAACGATTCATCTACACCGAACAACCAATAAAATGGAGAAGAAAAAAAAGTCTCGTTGAGTTGATTATGAAAAACTCACCCGGTTTCGAAATGGAACTGGTTGCATGATGATGATGGTGATGGTGAGATGTTCCAGCCACAGCTACAACACAATCGGATTGGAGCGATAGAGAAAGAGAGAGAGAGAGAGAGAGAGAGAGAGAGAGAGAAAAATATAGTGGGAAAACGGCATTTCAATGATGGAATCAAATTTTATGGACAATTTTACAGAGTTGGTACTAAATGGTCTTTTTAGTGCATTTCGTTCTTATTTCTTTTTTTTTGAAGAGCTACTCGCTAAGTAGTGCAGCCAATTGATTTTCCAATGTATACTTACGATGGGTTTCTGATTCATTTTCTGTGGAACGCTGGGCGGCTTTCGAAAGACTTTTTCTTTTGGATGGCGAATGTTTGAGAGCTATAGAGTTTGGAAAAGATAAAGTAATTTGTTGCATTTTTATATTGTTGAAAAAAAAAATTGTTGATCGCGCCAAACCAAGGCACACGAAAAAAAAAGATTGTGTTTAAGCAAAAATGAAGCATGTAACCAAAATAATAAACTTTTATAACAAAACGAATGGAAAACCAAAACAGAAAAAAGAACGTTATAAGCAAAAACACGAAAGAAAAAAGCTCTTAACGACACATACACATAATCAAGATTTTTTTTTTTAGAAGATCAAACGAACTGAAAAATACAACAACAACTCATATAATTGCATATTCGCATTTTCGACGGCAAAACAAGCGACACAATAATGGCACAGCGAAATTTTAATTCAACACATAAACAAGAATTTTGCGGTTTTATCTACAATAATAACACAAACAGTAACAGTCACAATAACAACCAAGTTTCATACACTCTTCGATAAATGATGCACAATATGCAGAAATGCAATAGGCCAAGAGACAACAATGGAAGAAAAAAAATAGCACAACAAAGTTCAGTCTGCTAACGGTCTGTGATAATAGTGTAATGAAATGAGTGCGGCGAAGCCATTGTTATCGAACGAATCGTGTTTCTTTTTTTCCCCTCTGTTGCATTTTTCACTCAAAACTTTTGCTACATGGTCAATGTCTATCGTATACATAGAACAAAAACACGTGGAATGCCCACATTAACACAACAACGCGTAAAATGTGGTTCATTTTGTGCTGAAACGAGCAAATAGCAAACGCGTGAAACAAAAGCCAATACAGTCTGATATTTAGTGACGAGAATCGTCAGGAATGTTCGTTTCAACACAATATCGTTATGTACTTGGGTCGAAAATCGGTACACTGATTTCCATACTTTTTCCGTTTTTTTTTGCTCTTGTTGTTGTCGTCGTTGTTCAGTGGAAAATATTCTAAAGAAAAGTCACGTTTATAGTCTTACTTAACCGATGATGAAGAAAATCGTATTGCAAATGGAGCCAATGTGAAAATAGCGTTGGCAATGTGCAGAGTGGGCGATTCCAGTGCCAAATATCACTAGACACGTATTTCGATATAGTAACATAAAAAAAATGACGACGACAACAACAAAAACTGGGTAATATCATCGATAAGCTGCTTTTATCGAACTGCTATTTTCATACATCATATATAGCATCACCCAATGCTCAAATTGACGGATATTTCTTCTTTTTTTTGTTCGAATTTTTTCTTCGTTTATTTTTGTTGCGTTTTTAAAACAAATGTCTCAACTAAAAGTATTGAAATGAACATGGCATTGCCTCTGGTTTAATGAAATGATCAATTGTGCGTCATTTATAGAAGAAATAATATTGAAAAATGCCAACCAGACATGGAAACGATGCAACACGTCGAAATGAGGTAGAGAGAGAGAGAGAGGGTAATGATTGGTGAACATGACAGTTGTAGCAACAATGAGGATGTGTCAGTTAGATACGAAGCAATGATAACAACATGCAAAATAAAAACATTGAATTATTGTGGATTGGAAATTGTATATATATTTTGTATAGTCTCTTGAAATGATTCTTCTTGTTCATTTAATTGGTTTAGTAAATGCGTTTGATTTTTTTTTTTGATTTTTTGTCTTCTTACACTTAAAAATATCATAGTTTAATTCACCTTAGGCTTTGCTATCTACTTTAGTACATTGATTTTTTTTTAGTAAGACTATAACTGTATTGGCAACTAGCAAAAGCAGTGAATTGAAAGGCCAACATATATTGTATTGTTTTCAATTTTTTTAAAAGCATATTTTCAGCAACATAGCACATACTTTGGACTGTATTTCAGTTTCAGTTGCTGTGTGTGGGTGTGGGTGTGGGTGTGTGCGTGCACATGTGTTGTTAATAACAAGCTATTTTCAGTTGTTTGGCTTACAAATCTATCAGTCATGTTTTACTGAATCTCTTGAGCTTAAAGCAAACGTCTGACTTATGGCAAGATTTAATTCAATGCTGTAGCCACTGCACACACACAGAACAAAAACTATTTGTCTTTTGTTTGAAAAAGAATTTTTCTCCTGGGGGAACGGCAGGAAAAATTGTGTCCATCGTAGTTGCTAGTGCTTTTTATTTACAACTTTTCAACATTACTGTGCCGTTAATTACAATTTTATTAGGATACAACACAAAAAAGAGACATGAATGTTTTTTCAATTCTTTATGAATGACTTAATGAACGGCAAGAACATATATGTTATTACAACGATAAATGTAGGCGAATTTAAGCACAAATTATTTACATTCACATGGTTGTGCAATTCGGTGCAAATGTATGAATTTTCATCAAATTGTTCACATTTCAAATTAGTGATTTAGAGCAACAAAAAAAAGAAGAAACAACAACATAAAACATAAAAATGTCTGGTGCAAATAACATCAGTATGTGTGTGTGTATGTAATTCAGCTAATTGACATCAAATTTCAAAATCACATTCAAAATGTACAAAATCAGTCAATATCAACAGACATCATGCGGCTACACATCAATATTGATCAAAATAAACCAAAGTAAAACATGCGAATGACATAATTTTACACGGAAAATGATTAGAAACGAAAAGAAGGCAAAAAAATGAAAGAAAATGGAAATGCAAAAAAAACGCTGATCAGAATGCAAAATCGATCGTTAAAAAAATTTCAAGTGAAAAATTAATATAAAATGCCCGAAACAAGGCTTGAAATAAATAGATAGCTGCTCTCTGTTTTACACTCATTCAGAACACAATTTTATTGCTGATTAAATGAAAAAAAAAATTCATTGGAACTGAAGAAGCCAAAATCGATCATTTGTTTTAAAACATTGGAACGAATTCGAAACGAAATCATATTTTTGGTGGTTTTTTTTTTAGAATAAAAATATGTTGTATTAAAAAAGGTCACACAAATCCAAACAATGAAACAAAAATTTGCGGTAAAGAACGGGAACAAAAATGAAACGTGAAATTCAAACGTAAACAAAATCGCAAACGAATTCATTTTTTTTTAAACGAAAGAAAAAATTGTTCAAATTTTATTTGTGGACAACGGATCGAATGGCATGAATGCGACAAGAGATTATTTCGCTTGACTTGGCTTGAAGGTGTGTCGAGTATGCCATTGTGGTAGTTAACTTAGTTTGGCCGGTGGTTGAATGTGGTATACTCTGAATGTGCATTTCCAAACGGAAAATGGGAAAGTGCAAAACGTGCATATCTTTGTTTGCACAGGTCATTTAATCTGATACCATCAAAGACATGCAAACCGAACATTTTGTCACTTTCGAAATATGAATAAAGAAAAATTCCACACCCTGAGTATGTGCTTCATTCAAAGATGAATTAAGACACATAAACCAGCCTCGTATATTCGATATACCAAACCCAGTTTCAAAGCCGAGGTCAAAGTGCTCTCGCATTGCATTCAGGCCACGAGACACCATTGATGTGTCTTTATATTTTGATCGAAAAAACAAAACAAAAACAGAGTTATTCATCAAAGAAATTTAATATGTTTTACCTATGTAGCTGGTAACTAAAGTACGGAACTTTCTATGATTTCCTTTTATCTCCGGAAGATCCACTATAGATTTATTTTTTTTTGCGATTTGAGTATAAATAGAGTTTGTGTGATTGATTGTTGGAAATTGATTCGAAATTCAGTTAACCGTTTCGTATGGTTCGGAATTGTTTTTTTTTTGGTTTGGTTTGGTTTGATGTTTTTCATGTTTTGTGTATGAATGTGTAAATGTGTGTATCGGTGAGGAAAAAAAAGTAGAAAAAGTAACAAAAATAAGCAAACTGTTGTAGCATTTGTTTTACAAAAAAGAGAGCGAGAATTTTTTTCCGTTTAAATGTTTAAACGAAATATTATTTATCTTCTTTTTTGGGTTGAATGAAAAAAAAATTATTTCTTTCTAAATATTTGAACAAATTCAGCAGAATTGAAACTGATGAACGGTATAGTTTTGTTTTTCGATTGGAATAAATTTGTGAAAATGAGCGTTCTTTTTTTTATGTCGCAAACTGGAAGAACATTTTGGCTGAATTGATTTCGTCCCGTTAAATTCGATTTCTATTTCGATGAGGAAGTTTAGCTTTTTTTCAACGTTTTTCGTTGTTGATTTGGACATTTATGAGAATGATTTAAGAGCGTTCTAATATCGATTACGTTAAAATATGAACAGTTCGACATATTTAGAATTTCATACAAATAGCTGTAAAAGATGATGGAGCAATCTAATCGACATGTACATTTTGATTTTGTTCATCTCAAAAAAAATGTGTGATTATATGTGTTATAAATAAATCCCTAGCAGCTGCTTGGAAACAACAATTAATTGTCTCATTTTTTGTAATGTAATATTTCTATAGAGAAAATTTCGGATGTGACATCTATTCGTTTGTTTGTTTTTTTTTTGTTTTTTTTCTGTTTCTACACTGTGGATAATGACAGATGTTAAAAATCTCGTTGCTTTTCAAAAATGTACTTTCGTAAGTATTTACTGTCATTTTTAACACCTGCCTGAGCTAAATGTCAAGAGTTAGGTACAATTGGAAACTTACGCGATGGAATTTTCTTAAAAACTGTGTTGGCCATGAAATCCTGAAATCGCTGAGCGTAGAATGATGGTCGACACACGGATACCGTTTTCTATAAATTTAAATAACAACAACAATCACACATTTGAATTAGAATTAGAACTGATGTAAGTGTGCTAGCGCGTGTGTGTATGTATATATATATATATATATATATATATAAATTGTGATGCATTATGCTTACCCCATCATGAATAATACTTTTGAATGTATGCTCTAGTTTTTTCTTCAAACGGTAGGATTGCAATATATCAATTATACCGATGAATAGTAGCAATCGTTCGCCTTTCTCACTGCGCGCTGGAATTCCGCCAGGTCTGTCAAGTGTAAAAGAAAATGCCATATTTTATGTGAAAAATTAGATTACCATATTTGTTGTTGATGTTATTGCTGCCGCAATTCTATTTTCATCGTGCGCTTCTGTTCAGTTTGTTATTGCTTATTTTGTGTAAAAATAAGTGAATGTGTGTCAGTGTTTACTTACGGTACATCATCTTGAACATCGATCGGTTCACTGTCGGCCTGTATGCTTTCCATTGCAGTTGAATGTGCGACCAGTCGCTGGCGATTGATCGATTTGCTTCGATTTAATGCTATTGCAGCCGCAGCTGCGGCACCATGTCTTTCCCGGCTCTCCTGAATACGTTCGTGTGCAATGAATTGATCGGCTTCCGGCGCATCCTCCAAATCGGATTCATCCTCTTGTGACATGGCTCTTACGTCGGCCACCACGGGCGGTGGTCGATTCTTTTCTTCCTGTTTTTCTTTAATTGCTAAATCTAAATTATGTACACCAACCAGCAATGAGTAGTCCATAATTTTGAATGATTCCAGTACACGACAATCACGTTGTATCGTCTTCACCAGTGCATTGTACGTATCCGATTCGAGGAATATACCGTTCGGATGTTGTTCCATGAAATCTAAATCTTTGTATGTGGGCGATGATTTGCTCCGTTCTTGTTTATTAGCCTGAAATTTAAATCACATTTCCAATTTATTTAAATCCAACTGCGATTTTGTTTGTTCTGTAGCGCGGCTTTCAATTCGCAATCGACTAACTCACCTTTCGATTGTATGTGGAACCCTTCAGATCGTATTTCAGGTGTAGTTTTACGTATGATGGCAACAAATTGTTCATTACAACTAAACGGACATTTTTGCTATTGCACTGAAAACAATATAAGCCGAAGAATTTTGGTAGAAGTGTACGTGGATTTTGATTTAGATTCATGTAGTAGCCGGGCAATAGTTTTTGTAAGAATTCACCCTCTTTGTGTTGTACGGTTTTAATGATGAACTCATCGTCATCGGTTAAGTAAAATATTGAACCAGATGCACCAGGGTTCGACAGTTCTCGCAACGATGCTGAACACATTGACATCTGAAATTCGATGATAACGTTCATTTCTTTCCTTCTTTTTTTTTACTTGTTTGAGTTTATTACTTCAATTAATTCAACTGTTCCGCAACGAAAATGCGAGTTGCGCAATTGATAAAATTTTCAGTGGCAATTGAGTGAGTACATACCATAAAATCGTCCGGTTGGATGCCGAACAATCCACGAAAGTATCTAAATGCAATGGGAGCAAAGATCTTGAATCTAAACTCGGCATAGTGGTGCGCAGGCGTTAGCGATGAACCTTCTGGTGGGAATGATATGGTTTCCAACTCGTAAAAATCGATCATTAACAGGTCACGTTTTGGTTTTGATGCTAAACTACCAACCTAAACCATTCAAGGGATAGAAGCCAATTTTGAATAAAACGCGTTGTTGTGGCATTTTTCGCAAATTGATACGTACAGTATGTTGAATTCCTAGCTGAATGGATCCCATAATATGTGTCGACTGAATTTTCTTGTATGTAATCTCGCCACCGTCACCAACTCTCCGATGGCCCAATTTCCGCTCGCGATCGTATTTGTAGCGGCCAACATTGTTTGCAACGCGTCCAGCTGCCGCATTTTGATCACCATTTAACTGAAAAATATTCCAAACAAAAATGGATTCGTTTTAATCAGCTAATACTGTGTGCGTGTGTTCTTTGTATATTTTCTATCGCGTCGACACATTGTTTTTGTTTTCGTGCCGTGCCTTCTTCCACATCATAGAGAAATTACTATAATACATTCGTTTCGCATTCAAGATTGTCATTGGATTAAATTATATGTCGGCGCATCGCACAAATCAGAAACGAGGATGACAAAAAAAACACAAACAAACTTATTAGCATCAATGTGCGTTTTAGTTGAATGGAATGAAAAACGAATATCAACATTCGTCTTGTTATCAATAAGTTCATTGGGTGCATTTGTGCCTGCGGCTATTTCATCTCAATTGATTCATTTGAGTGTTGTTGTTAGTGATTTGGCTAATATCAATTATGGTTAATTAATGTCAATCATTTACTCTGCGCGTTCGTTGGCTCTATTTTCTCCACGGAACTCTTTTTGTTTATCTCTTGTTCAAACGTTATTCTTTTGTTTTCAATCTAACTGCCGTCCATTAATCATTGTAATGACTGTGGAAATGAGCAATGCTCAACCGAGTTTCGACGCTAAACAGACTACCACATTTGTGTTTTCATCTCGGAAATATGCAATGATTGAGTTGAATGTATTAGCAACATCAAAAACAGTACATCCCACTGGCCGAATGTAATAGATATGAAAAAGTTATTTCAGTTCAATAGACATGCACCAGATTCTCAAAGCACTCGATTTAAACATTAAGCGATACATATTGTCTTATGGACATCATTTAAAATTAAAATTAAATGTGTCTTGAATTTTGGCTCGGCTGAACGTGTGATGCTTAATTATTATTTCACAATCTTTGTGTGAAATTCGAAACACAGGAAAACGATGTGATTTTTCATATAGAGAGGAAAAACAGCAACAACAACAACAGCGCACAGCTCTGATGTACCATATGATGTTGACCAAACGCATGGCCAATATATAGTTAGTTTGTAGTTCAGGACGTAAAAATAGGAAAAATCCATCGACAAGAACCAGAGCGAGAGAGAGAGAGAGAACGTAAACGTTGTTTTGCTGAACTATTCGTGGATTATAGAAACGGTTGTACTCGTTCCAATCAATTCACTGTCATGTTTGCTCATACCAGTTCTTTGTGTCAATTTGGAATGAAAACTTGTAATGCAAACGAAAAAAAAAGCGGACAAAACTTTTATTAGAAAAGCAAAGATTTTTCACTGCTCATTTCGGCGCACACAAACACACAAACCATGATTTTCCGAGCACAAGACTAAATTCACACTTACGGTAATCGATTTATTTAGGAAATTATTTGAAAACAGACAGAACATTTCTTTTCTTTGAGCTACGAAAAGTCGCGAGAAAAACACGGGTAAAAATATCTATATCGCTCTCAATGAGCTCGTCGTCGGTGACTCAGCCGAAGCATGTCGTTGACAATCTCTTTGAAAAATGAAGAAAAAAAAGAAACAACAACGAAGTGTGCGATGAGGTGTGTTTATTGTATGCGATTTCAATTGATTAGTCGTTAAAATAAAGTGTCGAGCACTCAAAAATTCATATGCATACGAAGCAGTAAAATGATTGTTTATATTCACGGAGTAAAAATGGATAATTCGACGGATTGTTCGATAGAAACGCCATATGATCATTTATCGGCGATGGCATAGTATGACAATAAGTTTTTCATTGCGATAAACAATGATATGAATCGTCGAAAATGCTCGCGAGAAACGTGTGTGTGCGAGAGTGCGTGTGTGAACGTATGTACGCCAAACACTTGACAATCTCATTCGGCGAAATTGATGTGCGGCAAAATATCTCAGATGTGTAAATCAAATGTACAAAACACGCAGAATCATACGCGAAACCCGAACACATAAAACCGAACGAACCGAACGCACAAAAAAAAATTAGAGTTGCCGAAAGAGTCGCATGTCGAGCGCTTTCGGTGAGCATGGATTGTGTACGGATATGATGATTTCATTTCAACACATGCTATTTAATGAAAGCTTTATCGCTTTCATAGCTATCATTACGAGACTCAAATGGATGCACAAACAAAGCGCCCATTTAATATATATCGAATTGAAATTGCCACGTTCCGTATGCCAATCGTATTTCTTTTTTCAGTTTTGGTAATACAATTTTGTAGTTTGGCGCATCCAATGTCTCAATAGTCTCTCTATCTATGTGTGTGGGCCTGTAGTTGATGTTTGTCCATTTGCTAACGAATAGACACGGACTGATGTTCAGTTATTTGATTGTATTGTTCGCCAAACTGACGTAATAATGGGCACAACATTTCATATGTTTACCCATTTAAAAAAATGAAAATATATTAATAACAATAATAATGAAAAAACCAACTGAGCTCATTTCGACAGCTGATTGGGGGATTATGAAAGTGGGAAATTTTCTGCGCCAATTCCAACGCATACTAACATTGACATTTTTTTTTTGCTTTCTTTCCAAAGGTGAATTGTGTTACGTTTTTGTTTCTGTCTCGGTTTTTTTTTTCATCCAAAACAGGAAATGTGCGGCCAAGACGCATTACTGCAATGGTTTGGCCAAAAGCAAGTGCAATCGTTAAATGGTTATGCATTGGATGAAGTTAGGCAAACAGCACACTCGGCATTTGGCTCCGAATCACTTGGATGGCATTCGGAAAAAGCATTGATGATTTCATATGTGAAGAAAAGCAGTTGAAACTAGTTTAATGAATGTGCTCCGATTTCCTTAACTGAAAATAAAAATTAAAGGACACCCATAATGCTGAAATCGGCCGTTTGCAGCGTTGCATGCCGTACTCCACTACCAATAATAGCCTCGTTGAAATTGTGCAAATATGAAAATAGAAAGAGAAGAGAAAAAAAGCAGCGAACAATAATGCGTTGCCATTTAGAAGCCAAAGTTGGCGTCATTACAAACTGTGTGAGGGACACGGGAAGGCAAAGCGTGGAAAATAGCCGTTCAAACGGAATTATTCATGCGACGGTGTGCCTATTTTCCAAAACGAATTAGTAAATCGCGCTGTTGACTCGCAACGCGAAAGAGACTCGAAGACGGTTTTCGGCGCTTTACTTAGATTATTTGCTGTTTTACTTTAGTTTCTTTTTTGCTTCTTCGGTCGTTTTGGAACCGTGCACATGTTGTTTGTGTAGCAGTGCAACGTCAACCAGTCTCAGTTTTATTTGGCTTGGGATTTTTGTTGTTGTGCCATCGTTGTTGCTGCTGCTGCTGCTGCTGTTTGAGTCGTGCAGTTCGTAAAGCATTCATATGATGATTACGTACGTATTTCAGTGAACAGCAACAGAACACGGTGGCGTTCACACAAAACACACGACGCTCGACACCACGAACCAAGCACAAACGTGAAAAAGTGTGCAACACCACTCATAGCAATGACAATGCAAATGAAAAATTGTAGCGAATTGACATTAAATCTCGGCGTTTGTTGATGTTTTACTACCGACAGAACAGAGATAGGCAACGATTAGTGTATTTAGTTGTACTGTGAATTTATTACACAGCCTGTCGTTGTTCGTTGTGCGCTCCCTCACTCTGTCATGCCTGTGAAAAAATTGTCACGGCCATTCATTTATTATTCCACACACACACACACACACACACACACACACACACACAGCTGAGAGAGTGTTGTTTTGATTTTATTTGTAGTTTTTCTTATTGCTTTTATTTCGTTCGTTCGTTCCTTCTTTCGCTCTTTCTCTCTTTCTCTCGCTTCTCATTTCAATGGGCCACTTACTACATATATTCTTGTCTGTTTCGCGTTCGTATGTATTCGAGCTTAGATTTTGTTGTCATCGTAGACAGTCGTCTTTGGTGTGCTTTGTACAGAGGACTGAAGAACGAATTTTTGTATATAAACAAGACACAAGAGAGTGAATCATAGCGAGGAATGTATGAATTTTTTTTCCCGTCGAATCGATCGAACAGAATGAACTGAACACAATCGAGTGTAATCAATTTGCATGTGCATGATTACGTTGGTCGTCGTTGTCGTCTTCATTGGGGCTGTTGACCATTGATGGAATTTTTAGCCTACGATTTGTTTGAATATAAATTCAATAAAATTTTGCGCGCAAACACACTTACACACACACACAATTCGAACCGAACGTGATTGGAGTTGTCTGGCATGAATTGTGACATATTCGTAGGCAATTTCAAAATGTTCAACGAATTTGATTGCAATTTTCTCAATTACGACAACAACAACGGAACAAAAAAGAAGTTATTTCTTCTTTACGCACGCATACCCCAATGAATTACAAGCCCAATTCATTGAACGAAAAACGAATTGCTGTAAGAAGCCGATCGCGTTCAAATTGATTGTTGCGAAAAATCAATGAGGAATATCGAGCAAGACCATGTTTGCGTGTTTGCTAATCTTCCGAAATGATTGACTTCGCATAAGAAGCAAGTTCTACATTATCACACTCTTCATGCTTGTTCTCGCATTGAGTGATTAAAATTTACATTCGGAATATTGACGAATCGAGAGAAAAAAAAAATAACGCACACACACACAATTGTGTACATCATCGTGTTCAATAAACAATTAAAAGCACTTACCTCTAGAGTTGTAGCCGCATCTCCGCTTTCCGTTTTGTCTTTATCTGCACGTTTATTTTGTTGTGTTTTTAGTTTAATTGTTGTATTTTGCAGGGGCGAAAAAGAGAAAGAGAGAAAAAAAAGAAGAAATAGAAAACAAAGAATGAAAACCATACAAATTAGTTGTCGATACAATGTCGAACGATAATAATGTGTGCTTCATTTATTTGCAAAACCAAGCAAATACCAATGCCGATTAGCACATTGTTCCATTCAGCCTCGTTTTTCAACATTCAGCGAAAAAAAAATCAATTTTGGATGAGATTTTTTGTTGTTGTTGTTGTTGCTGCTGCTGTCTTTCAACAACAACATGAGAGGAACGCAACAACAACAAAAATGGTCGCTTATTTAGAGCAATGGCTTGAAATTCAAATACGAATTTCACCAAGTTTTTATATTACACTTGTCTTTTGAAAAAATGATTTGCCGCTAAAACCAAATTATGCTCGAAATAACGAAGGTATGTATACAAGGAAGCGTTTTTTGCAAAGTATATCACCAACTTATCACACTTCATTGTCACTAATGACGAATGGTCGCGATAAAATTCCATAATTCATTTTTTGCCAGTGTAAAGAGACGAAAAAAAGAAATCATGTGTTCTATATATGTATATATACACCATACCGGAATGTCTAGTATTTACGCTACACATTTTTTGAAGTGGTAAATCGGTTTAGTTCACGTCATAATCAGCGTGTGAATAGTACAAATCCAATAAGTTCAATAACATTTCAAACGTAATAAACCCTGCACACTGATAAGACAAAGCCCCCGATTATTCCTCTGTCAAACAATGCAATCAATCTGATTAATTTTTGATTTGGAAATGACGGAATCGATGAGAGTGAGGTGGGCGCGCGCGCCCCTGATATTGGCATGCGGACATGAAACACATCACAACCGAATGAAATGCATGGAATAATTCACCGTTTGTCAACCATGTCGTGGAATTTCGTGAGTCATTGATTAGCATCGATACTATATACGATACACACACACGGTCATCGTCGAATGGATTGTATCGTATGGAATGCTGCTGCTGCAAGTAATTTGTTTTTTTTCTCTCACCAAATGTCAAATGCTCGTGTCACCGACTGCATTTTTTATTGGTGCAATGATTAAGCGCCGTTTGTTATGTCGCCCGATTGATAACAATGATACGAATGATTCATGTTCATTTTATTTTTGGGTGTAATGTGATGGCATTCGACCACTAACGATTGGGTATGAAAAGCGACAGCAAGGTAACACTTATCAGAAATCATCATCGTTACAGTTTATTAAACAATGGAATCTCATTTCGAATTCCCTTGTATACATTTTATCAAGTGGTTATTTTGTTTTTCACTTTTGCACTTGGATTCATGTTCTGCTTTTTCTCGCACCGCGCTAATGCTTTTTCCCCCTTGACTAGATACTTGCGGTGATATCATTGTTATTGCTATGACGTGATCGAATTTGCTTGTCTTTTGCCATTTTTTTCTTTTTTGCCGTTGCCGTTGTTCCCATGTTGAAAACTTAATATGAATAACGATCGATTTGCAGGAAAATATTTTGTTTATGGGGAATAATGCACACTTTGCTTGAAATTGATGATAACATCAAGTCAATATGATTAAAAAAAAAAATCGCGCCTATCCTTGCAATTTGCATCGCCCATGCACTGAATGAGTGGCACTTCAATGGGATTTTTGATTCGAACAAAGCAACAACAACACAAAAAGGCAAGCGTATTGCCACTGGGTGGTTTCATTCTTTTTTTGTTTAATCTCATGCCGGATTAAATTCGTTATTATTGCCAATTGCTGTCTGGAGATTTTCATTGTGGAAGAAAAAAAGAATTAAAAGAAATAAAGAAAAGACTGTGAAATAATTAAGTGTGCCCAATTGGTTTCATCGAACGGAAAATACAAACACAAAGTTTTTGCGATATTTTTAACATTTGGCATGGACAAGCGGCAACACCACCACAACCCAACCGACCGACCGATTCAAAGGCGAAGAACAGGCAATGGCGATAATTAAACTGAAATACAGAGAGTGAGGCAGAAGGAGAGACAGAGAGAGAGAGAGAGAGAGAGAGAGAGAGTCGGGTGTCTGTTGTAAATCTAATAAATCACTTAAGTGTTTCGGTCGTGTGCATCGCATTATATTCCAGCGTGTGTAATGTATGAATATACATTTAAACAGCACGACAAAACGATGACACGTATCCATCGGCTAATGTATTAAACTCAACCGATGAATCTACATTTAGCAGTTCGTGGGACATTGTCGATGTTGTTGTGTGGTTTTTTTTTCTGTGCGCCGTTTTAATTTTTCATTTGTGGTGCCATGATAATGGCCCTGCTTTGACTTGTATGATGACTGTATTTTTCGATTAGATTAACTCTAAATTCAAATCATACGTTAGGCTCGAATATATGCTCATACTGAATCACTGCAACCTTATCGAATGAACCTCCCATTTCCAACGACGAGAAAAAAAAACGAGTCGCACGCATTCTACAGCGATGAGAAGTGGCTTCTTTAGAATTTGTCCCAATTACAACCCTGTTTAATTGCACCGAATGTGCGCAAATCAAAAGCCGTGATATCCTATTTTGAGTCATTTGGTAATGAGTTCATTAAACTTGGATGAGGAGCATGGATTTTGCACTGGTTTTACAAGGGTAACACAGAGATAAGGAGACAAAGGAATGCATTTGCTTACCATCATCGGTACCGCTCGTCGATTTCAATGTACTCGAATGAATGTCCCGGTTTTTGCTCGAAAAAACTGATTCCGATTCTATTGAATCGGTTCCCTCCGCGGAAGCCATTTCTGTGTCGTATTTCCTTTCCAGCCAATTTATTCTCACTTACTTTGGTCAATGCAATTATTTTTCGGTTTTTGTTTTGTTTTCGACGATTCAAACACTTTCGAAATTTTCACCTTTAGATTGAATCTTTTCAAATCTAGTCCGATTGTAATATTGTCAATTGTCTTGGCATGTGTATCGCTGTGTGCGTACAATTAATTTAAAAACTTGATTTTTCTTCGTTTAATTAAACACACAGATTTGCCTCTTTGCTCTTTGTTGTTGTTGTTGTGGTTGATATTACAATGATAATTATTTCTATTACTTTTTGATGAATAAGGATGACCGAACTATTTGAACTGATTCACAGAGAGTAATGAATTATTATTATTATTATTTTTTTTTGCTTCTCTTGTTTAACTTTTTATGGTATTAGTAAGCATGTGTAATCAACACACAGAATGGTTTATTCAAGAGAGCGTGTATACGCATACACCTACACGGACCAACTTCACTTCACCAAACACACAGTTTCTCACTGAAAATAAATAGAACAACAAAATAAGAGAAGAAGATATGAGCTAAGCTTCTAAATCCAACTGGAATGTTTATCTGCAAAAGATAGTCACGCATAGAGAGAGAGAGAGAGAGAGAGAGAGAGAGAGAAGCATGAGATGCATTTAATCCACGAAATATAGTGTACCGATCACTTTATGGTTCAGAGTTTATACGGGTGTTTGTCTGATTAGCATTTGCATGTCAGATAGTCACATAGGAAAAACTGCAGTCGATTTCATATGTGAGAATTGCCACACAGTAAATTGCTCATATTTTTATTTCGTTTGGTTTTTGTTGTCTGATGATAAAATTCTATCACCAAAGCAAATCGACGGAGTAGAAGAAAAAAGAACACAACACCAGATTAGAGTAGAGTTGATTGATGCTGAATTTCCAGAATTAGCTGGTCTCCAATTACATGATTTTTAATATACATAATGTGAACCCATTCCGAATGCACGCACACTTCTACAATCAATTTACACTTTTCTTTGCGTCTGTTACTTAAACTATTATTTTGTTGTTTTCTTCTTCTTCTTCTTCTTCTTTGTGTGTGTGTTTTCTAATTTTTACAAATTTTTTTCTTCTATTTTACATAAACTATCGACATAAATAAAAATAGTATAAATAAACACAACAAATCGAAAGGGAGAGAAAAAAGAAGATGAAAACGAAAGCGAAGGCTTACAAACGTACACTTCACACGGGCATTCTCAAATACATTTGGATATAATACTCTTTTTTTCACACTTTTCGCGTTGATTCACCTTTTTGGTTGAGGAATTTACGGATTTGACTTATTGAATGGAATTTTTCTCCTTCGTGTGGACTACGGATGGATTGAGTGAATGACCCTCAACACGAACAAATTGGCGATAATTTTCATTTATTGCAACATTTTTTCTCTTGATTTTTCCTCGATTCCCGTATCCCGATTACCGATTCGGACGTTTTTGACGTTTAAAATCAATATTCATGCAATTTACAACAAAAGAAATTTTTCCTGGCCGTGTTATTGCTCATCTCAATACACGCCACAATGCAAACTGCGAGAGAGTATACTGTAAATGACTTTGACACGATGAACCAACAAAAGGAATTTCAATGGAATACCACGAGAATGCGTTACCAACAAATATCGCCGTATCACCATTCGATGATTGTCAATGAGCGAGTTTGGTTGCGGCGATTTCGTTCACACAACGACCTCTGTTGATATTCCGATGCTACTATTCCGGTGTTAAAATAACGATGCAAACGAAATGTTTGGGAACAGGTGGAAAATGGAAATTTACAACAACTCTCTCTCTCTCTCTCTCTCTCTTTTTTCAAATGTTTTTCCTCAAATTTCCAGCAATCACGCACATCACCGTATTTTCAATTGAACCTTTATTTATGTCAACTTTGTTGCAATGGAATTGTCAATTGTTTGAATTTGTTTGTAATGCGTTTCCAATCACCACACCATTGATTGTTTGATCAATGTTTGAACATTGTTGAAATTTCCATTTAAACCCAGTAACGACTGACTTCAGAATGTCCAACAATTTCGTTGAACGCTTTTGTCACAAATATTTTCAGAAAAATCCGAAGAAAAGCAAAGAAGATGTCATCAAAAAACTAACGCATCTGTATCTAAATGGCCGCAAACTCGAAGAAATTGTATGGCACTTCAAGTGTATGGTGTTTAAGTGTGCCGCACTTGAAAGAAGACTGAAGCAATAAAAAATTTTTTTCTCTACTATAAAGGAATTTCCAATTTCAGGGTGAAATATCGTGTGAACAACTAAAAGTGCTTTATTTACACAACAACTCCATCCAGCGAATTGCAAATCTAGACCAATTGATTCATCTGACACACTTGTATTTGCAATGGAATCGCATTGGAAAAATGGAAAATTTAAATCAGCTGAAAAATCTACGGAAATTGTATTTGAGCTACAACGAAATCTCGTGTCTTGAAGGCATTGATGACTTGAATTTCCTGGAAGAATTGCATTTGGAATATCAAAATGTACAACCGCAACAAGAATTCACGTTCGATGTCAACAGTTTGATTGGCATATCGGCAAGTGGCAACATTTCTGTAGCGCACCGTGTCGCTTTGTGTATTTAACCATTTTACATTATTTAGACATCACTCCGTGAGCTAAACATAAGTGGTCTGCAGTTGACGGAACTGAAAATTTTGAAAACACTTCCACATTTGGCCAAACTCAGTGCGGCCGATAATAATTTCGAGACCAGCGACTATATTGCTTCTTCAATTAATCATTTGAATTGTTTGCAAGTGGCTGTATTCGCCGGCTGCCCGGCGCAGAAGAGAGATATTCACTATAGAAATAAAATCATCTTAGGATCCAAGAGCTTAGGTAATTGCATCCTGTACAATTTGGGCATTGAGTCAATTTTTTTTTCTTATTGTTATTGCATTTTTGCTTTACAGAAATGCTCGATAATAAAGAGGTAAATGAAGTGACACGCGCATTTTTGAAGAGCTTTGATCGCATCAAAACGGAACAAAAACAAAAATTGACCAATACCAACAGTAGCTGCAACAAAGCCGTTGATATCGACATACGCGAAGATTTACCATTGATTCATTCCGAAGGAATCGCATTCGATGTTACTAACATCATTTCGCAAGCCATTGTCGAGAACATTCAAAACAAACCGTGGGTTAAGTTCCGGGAAGAAGATACACAATAGATTAAGATGGTGGAAAAAATGTGCTTTAAACGGAATTTAAGGCAAAAATAATAGAAAATAAATGGAAAGTGGCAAAATACATAATGGAAGAAGAATTTTTCCCTCGTCGAAACAGAAATGGAATTTTAGATAATTAGTTATCGTTATTCATATGAAAACGTCATTGATAGATTGTTACCACGTAAAAAGTACATTGAATGCTTAACTCAGTGGACACATACACACCAACCACTTCGTTTTTATGTTTCTTCTTCAGAACAAAGGAAAACGAATGAATGAAAAGCATCAACAAAATTACATATCAATTTAAAAAGAAAATGACAAGAAAAACCATATAAAAAACAATGCAGAAAACATTGTAAATCTTTAGGACGTCTTTCTTTTGTGAACGGAGTCAGTGTTTCACGTTTCGAATCATGTTCGTTACCTTTTCGTGTAAAATCGTCTGAAAAATAGCCATGAACATTCTGATATCGTCGAATTCAATGATGTATCAAAACCCCACAAAGAAGAAAAAGAAACAACCAAAACAAAGCTACGCTTCAAGGAAGAGCACTTGCAGTCACAAACAAATTGCGGTAAGTGTTTTTTGTTTGTTTTTGTATGAAGACAATTATTGTTATGAAGACATTGAAGAGGTATAGGTGCAATATTGTTTAGAAGTAAAAAAAAGAAGCTAAAGCCCATGTGCAGCAGCAATGCAATGAAGAAACACAAACAAAAGTCGAATAAAAAGCCATCGGAAAAAAAGCAAAATCAAACAAAGAAAAC